AAGTGCCTTGAGATGACATGTGATGTAAAGTGCTATAGAAATAAACTGCAATGAATTGAAAGGTGAAGCTATTAACAGAAATTAAGAGTGCTAATTTGCCTGTGCAGTAAGTAGTATCATCTTCAACGTTTGCATGCAAAAGGAATAAATTATCGAACAGGTTTGGTCCGTCCGATTTAAATGAGGAAACTGGGTGTTCTACCAGGAGTTTGAGAGTGGTTGCGTATTAAAGGAATAAAGGAAAGTGTCAAAATAAATCAACTTGTAACATGCTCAAATATATTCTGTTTGTTCTTTTTATGGGCCAGGCAATGCGGTATAGGCTACACCTCCTGTCTCTGTCGCTTTGGAAGTTCCCTAGCCCCAATGATAATGCTGCTGGATGACGTCTGGCTTCTCCTGCCTCCCGTGATCTTCGCTGGGACTGGGATCATCAGCGGAAGCTTGGTCTTTCTGCTCCCAGAAACTCTCAACATCCATCTGCCAGAAAACATTTTTGATGTTGAGGAGAGAAGGTAAATGCAGAAGGCAAAGTATTCAGGAATGTCTGATGGCCAGCTTAGCACAATAAGCTATGAAAAACACCAGGATAGTTACAGAGGAAGGAAAAGAAATGACAGTTTGAACGTAGAGTTCAAAGTGGGAGAAAGAAAGACACAGAGGACTGCATGCTGGTTAAAGGAGAATCGTGTGACCGGGCTCATTATCCCTGACTGTTCCTCCCTCCAGGTTAACCCTGAGAAAGAGGTGAGGAAATGAAAAGCAGAGGTAGTGTGTAAAGCTCTGATGTAAAGCTTAAAATATCAGAGAGCCCAAACCCTGAATGACCTCGTTTAAAAAAAAGGATTTAAAAATAAATAGATGGTGATAAAATCTCCCAAATGGGATTTCCCTTCTTAATTTGATTCTACCTTTGGCTGCAGGCACATACCAGGCAGCGCAGCGGGCGGCGGGGAGGAAGAGACTGAGCTGAAGTCATAAAGTAAAGAAGACAGAGCTGCAGGTCGCTCCTCCTCATCAGAACACAGATCCTCCTCATCACTGGACACTTTAACCTCATTGGTGCTTTACGATTTTCATTGGAACTTTTACACCTTTACAGCTAGACTTCTTTACCTTATCATCACTGCCAGGTGCCAATTACACCACAGTAAAACATTCTGGTTTTACATGCTGGCAGACAGGCAGTTGTCCCACTGCAGAATCAAATAAGAAATTATGCATTTTATTATAAGAATCCCCTAATTTTAAATCTTCAATGTCAAAAAGAGTTAATAAATGGTTTGAAAATTTATGAATGTTCCTTACTTGCTGACAGTCAGGGCTGGCCGGGCAATGCAAGGCTGTCATAATGTCATTAGAAAGTGTTTATGCTGTAGTTATTATTTATTTTATTCATCTATAATACATAATTTATTCATTATTTAAATTGGATTATGCAAAAAAGCATTGATTTTTTTTTATATATTTAAATTAAACTCTTACATTTAGCCATTTGAGCTGAGAGTTGGTGCAGAGGTCATCACAGTGTGTCTGTCTGTTAAAAAAGGAGAGAGCCAAAGGCTCCAGGTGGACGGAGCAACATGGACCAAAATAAAATACTTGATTTGTGCGACTGGTGGATTCAGGTGGTGAGAGGAGCTCTGGCTGAACTAATCGATTAAGATCATTTCCTTCCTTCACACACAAAAATCCCAGCTCCAGCTTAATGATAAGGTTCCATCATACAGTAATAAAAATATACGTTTTTAATTAAACTCGCAGTCGTCATGCTAAAAAAAAAAGCATGCAGCACATTTTAGTGCAGTTAGATGGGGCCAGTATACACATGAAACCAGTCCACTGGAAAACCAGTTAGGAGGACAAGACAAATGTAAGGGAAGGTTCACATGTGATGTAAAAAAAAAACATTTATATACTGGATGGTCTCAGTAAATGCATTAGCTGGTTTAACAGAGATCTGATTTAAATCTGTTTTCCCCTGTTTCTGTTTCCTTATCCACTGAGTCGGCCAGAGCAGAAAGGGTTAAACTCTCTCAGAACACTCCAGCTGTTCCATTAAACTCTATACTTATCAAATTTTATACACAGTTAACCAACATTTATTTTTGTTTTGTTCTAAAAATGATCATTTATTAACAGAATAACTTTAGATTAAGCTCAATCTTCTGGGCTAGAAAATAACCATGAAATAAATGTGTTCTGTTAGAACATTATGTGGGATTTGAGGATTTATTTGATTCACTTGTAAATGAAAATAAGCCCAATTAGAGCTTTAAACCCCCCAGAGCCGCTCCTCTACCGTTCTTTCACATCTGTTTGAATCTGAGGACAGAAAAAACGTCTGAAGCGGGAACAAATAGAAATATACATGAAAAAAAAAACACCCTGGGTTTACATACGTACATGTGGCTGTTTTTGTTATTTCAAAAACAGCCACAATCATTATTGATGAAGTTAGCATCTCTCCATGACAGCAGTATGGTTAATAAAAACAAGCAGAAATGTTAATCTGAGGAAACGTTAAAAGAAGCGGAGACTGGAAAGCTCTTCATGGCTGCTGTTCAAGAAATTGTTTTTTCTGAATACTTCAGAAAGTAAAAGGATTATTCTGTGTGAAGAAAAAAAAATAAAAATGGTATCCTTTGCATGTTGGAAGAACATGTCTGTCTTTTTTTGTTATTTTAGTTGAAACACTTATTATAAGACAATATCAGAGGTTAGTGTTTGTGAGAAATATCAATTGTTTTATCAATGATGTTTATTTTCACCAATGTACTCAGCAATGTTTTGGAAGATCTATAGTATTTCCTGTAAGATAAATATAGCACTAAATTAGTTACTTGAGCTGCATTCACCATGAAGCAGTATTGAGTCAGGTATGGAGATGGCTGAAATATATGGCAAGATGTTATAGATTTAAATGTGAAAATAAAAAATGAGATCAAGAGAAAAGTCAAATGATATGTTTAGTCAATAGGCAGAGTAGGACAGTATGCAAGAAGGTTAGGGCCACTGGATAAAAATAAGAAAAAACTTACTGAGTTTTTCTTTCATTTGAGTTTGATATGGGAAAAAAAGTCTGAATTCTAACCATAATCTCAGAATTCTGAATTAAATCTAGGTGTATGATAGACTGACTGTATATGGAACTTAGGTGGCACTTTAGGGTGTCAGGTCAGAACACTTTGGAGACGTTCAGGTGCTTGCAGTGAGAAGAGGCAGAGTCCTTTAATCAGCTTTGATTGATTTATCTGCATTTATGAGGTGAATGCTGGTCATCATAGAATATGTGAACAAAATAAAGATGTCATTTTAGTTTGGACTCCTGCTGGAGGTATTTTGGGAAATGAAAGAGCAGGTGGGTTGGCTAAGGAGGAGAAGATATTGATATGCCAGTAAAATTATATCTAAATCTGAAAGCAAACGTATAGTTTGGAGAGAAGAGATGGAAAATAAGGAAAACAGCTCAGTATTAATCAGTACTTTCTCCCTATTGATATTTTGCACATCAGTGGTGTGATCTGTCAGACATAAGCTCCACTCTATAGGTTGATGGTTCAAGACCCGCCTCTGGCTTTTGATAGCGATTACACTAAATTATTTTGGCTGATGAGACTACTTTGCATTGGTTTGCCCTAGTAAAAATATATATTGGGTAAAAACGTTGCCGAATGAGGTCAGTTTGGCCAAACGATTGGTTAAACACAACTTCCAACCCGATTAAAACCAAAAAACTGTGGAAAAACTATTACCGGTATGTTTGAATAAAAAAGACGAACACCTC